GACTCAGAGGGCCCCTCGCTGTCGGAGTCTGGTGGCAGCTCCAACGGCTCCTGCTGGGCCACAACAGGTGGCCATCTTTGTTGACCATATTCCCATCTCTGAAGCATTGTCTGCTTGCGTCATTCATCCATGGGTTTTGCAACACACCCAGCAAGGCCAACAGTGGTGATCTATTCTTTTCACTGGTCATTCTGTCCTTGGCCAGCTCAGGTTGCCAGCTGGCTGGAATTCTGTGTACCAATCTCAGCCCTGGCATGAGACCAATGACTCAGAGAAATTTTCTTCTACTTTATCCATCCCTTTGATCGATACCAGGCAACTGGTAGTAGATCAGAGAATACAGAATAACAGGGTTGGGAGGAACCTTAGAGATCTTCCAGTCCAACCCCCTGCACAAGCAGGAGACTCTGTATCATCCTGGACAAAGGGCTGTCCAGCCTCTTTCCGAAGACCTCCAGGGATGGAGCACCCACACCTTCTGGAGGCAAACCTTTCCTCTGGTTCATTGTTTGCAGAGTTAAGAATGAAGACTTCTTAATTTATGACTTCTTAATTAATAAGAAGCGACACGGTGGCTCAGGGGCTAAGGCGCTGGGCTTGTCGATCAGAAAGGTTGGCAGTTGGGCGGTTCGAATCCCTAGCGCCGCGTAAACGGAGCAGCTAAGCACCCGTCAGTCCTCACCCCTCTTGCAAATAATAATAAATAATAATGAGACTTCTGACCCTGTTCTGCTGACTTTGGACTTTGCAGAGAGAGAGACAGAGACAGAGAGAGACAGAGACACAAAGATACACACAGAGAGACAGTCCAACAGAGAGTTAGATAGAGTGACAGAGAGACACAAAGACACAGAGAGAGACAGAGAGACACAAAGACACAGAGACACACAGAGAGTTAAACAGAGAGACACAAAGACAGAGAGACGGACAGACAGATAAAGAGAGAGAGAGAAACACACACACAAACACACAAAGACAGAGAGAGACACAAAGACAAAGATAGACAGATAGACAGAGAGTTAGACACAGAGAGACACAGACACAGAGACACAGAGAGAGACACACAAAGAGAGAGGCAGAGAGGCAGAGGCAGAGAGACACAAAGACACACACACACAGAGACAGAGACACAGAGAGACAGAGACAGAGAGACACAAAGACAGAGAGAGAGACACAGACAGTCAAACAGAGAGTTAGACAGAGAGAGACAGAGAGACAGAGAGACACAAAGACAGAGAGACGGATAGATAGAGATAAAGAGAGAGAGAGAAACACACACACACAAAGACAGAGAGAGACACAAAGACAGAGAGAGACAGATAGACAGAGTTAGACAGAGAGAGACACAGACACAGAGACATACAGCAAGACACAAAAAGAGAGACACACAGAGATAAAGAGAGAGAAACCCGCACACAAACACACACAAAGACACAGAGAGAGAGAGAGACAGAGAGAGAGAAAGAAAGAAAGAGAAAGAGAAAGAAAGAAAGAGAGAAAGAAAGAGAGAGAGAAAGAAAGGAAGAGAGAGAGAGAAAGAAAGAGAGGGAGAGAGAGAAAGGGAGAGAAAGTGTGTGAGAGAATTGGAGTTAAAAATCAGCCGGAGGGCAGAAAAAGGGATGGGGAAAAAAAACCCTGGGCATGTCTGAAAAAACGAAATATCTCCTTTCTCTGGGCTGGCAGGGAATTGAGACCCAACCCCTTTACCTTCAGGATAAAAGCCTAGGAGGTCGGAGGCTGAACTCTGCAAAGCAGCCTTGGCTCCAGCCGGAGTTGATCTCCTCTTTTGAGTCCTTCAACATGAAGTCCTCCTTCTCTTTCCTTCTCCTTCTGTCAGGCCTGCTGGGGACGCTCTCCCAGGAAAGTGAGTATTGGCCCCGAGGTCTATGGAGAGTCTCAGCCAAGGTTGTCACAAAGGGGCTTTTTTTTTTCAAGAGGCAACTGGACTTTCTTGGGGTTTTCTTTTTCCCTCGAAGAGGCTTTGCTCCTCATCTGAGAAGCTTCTTCAGTTCTGAGTGAATAGTGGAGAATGGAAGTCATCTGGTCGTTGGTACTTTCTCTGAGAGTCGTTGGGGCCACTTGGAGGTTTATCTGTGCCCTCAGGGTCACCTGAATGGTGCAAATGGGGGTGAAAACAGTCCTTTCAGCACTTCCAAGAAGGTTCCTCCTTATCCTTCTTTCTTCTTCTCCTTCTCTTTCTCCTGCTTCTTTCTCCTACTTTTTTCTCCTCCTCCTCCTCCTTTATTCTTCTCTTTCTTCTTCTTCTTCTTCTTCTTCTTCTTCTTCTTCTTCTTCTTCTTCTTCTTCNTGTAACCAAACGACATGCTGTATGTGATGATGGGTTTGTGTGTGTGTGTGTGTTTTCTGTTTTTTGTTTTTTTTACTGTTGTGGGTATGTGTTGCCTATGTAACAAAAATAAAAATTTTAAAAAACAACAACTACACCTCTAGTTCCATAAAATATCACTCATGCGCCCAATTTGGAGGCAGCACAAATCTTTGCCACTCTGAAATTCCAGACAGAAAAAAACAGCAATGCCGGATGAAGATGTTATACACAGATGAATTTATTAAAGGCGGCTGAACATATTTTTTTTGCTAGAAATCAGCATCGACTTCCATTTTCTTGCAAAGCAAAAAAAAATCCCGCTTCACGGTGAACCACAGCTTTGCTTAAGAACCACAGAGTTCACTTAATGACCACCCTGTTCGCTTTATGACCGCAGTGTTTGCTTAACAATGGCTGCAAAAATGTTAATAAAATTAGGTCTGGTCACGTGGTGATCTGATTTAGGACAACTTAGAACTCTTAATTGCAGGAGTCAATTACGGTTTTATTTGTGGGGGGGAAATAAAGTTTGTTCCTGGATATTTGAAGATTTCGCTTGTCTTTTCTCACCTGACTTTGATTTTTTTGGGGGGGGTTGACTGAGCCACAATTATTCTGGCACAAAGCTAAAGGGATTGTATTTCTTCAAAAACTTCAAAAAAAGTATTAATGTATCAATAACCATAGCGTGATATTATGAGCCTCTTAATCTAAAGTAAAGGTAAAGGTTCCCCTCGCACATCTGTGCTAGTTGTTCCTGACTCTAGGGGGCAGTGCTCACCTCTGTTTCAAAGCCGAAGAGCCAGCGCTGTCTGAAGACGTCTCCGTGGTCATGTGGCTGGCATAACTCAATGCCAAAGGCGCACGGAAGGCTGTTCCCTTCCCACCAAAGGTGGTCCCTATTTTTCTACGCATTTTTAACATGCTTTCGAACTGCTAGGTTGGCAGAAGCTGGGAAAAGAAAAGGGAGCTCACTCCGTTACGCAGCACTTGGGATTCGAACCGCCGAACTGCCGACCTTTCTGATCTAGAGGTGCCTTATTTTATATTGTGATGTTATAATTGACTAGTTGATAACTGGGTATTTATTTATCCCAACCCTCCTTCCATGAACGTTGCTGCAATTTCTAATGTTGGATTTCCCCCTTACCAGTGGGGAACGTCCTTGTGGAGTGCTGTGAAGCTGTTACCATGGCAACTGTACAGTAGAAGCCATATATATATATTAGTATAATTCTACTGCTATTTCAATGCTATGTGTATACTGGTTTTAACGGCAGGGACATAATATGTTCATTTAACGCTTACTACCATGAGTACTAACCATGAGATCCATGCGTATAAAAACACAGGAGATAATCGGGGAGTGAGGAAGACAGGACAAGATTCTGATAGACAAGAATATTTGTAACTTATGGTTGGAATTAAGGAGTCCTTGGTGCTCTCCAAATGTAATTGTGCACTTTTAGACATTTCATGGCCCAACTAGGTCATATCATCAGTGCTAGAAGGGAGCGGGGTTTGCTGGCCCTGTCATTGTGGGTAGGAATGGCTCCTCGGCATTGGTACTTGACCGACAATCAGGAAGGCATTGTTTTCTACTACATTGTTGCTCTAGTGTTAACCTTGGTGTTAAACTCTGTTCATGCAGTGTTGATTGCCGGGGTATATAAACAAGAACCCCAGTCAAGGAACTACCAATGCAGACAAACAGGCTAACATCAAACAATGGCTTGATCAAAGAACCACCGGGAACATGCCCACCAACATTGGCAGGGCAAGCTACTAGTACCAAGGGCAGCAACCCACGGCTCTGGAGCTGCATGTGGCTCTTTCATCCCTCTGCTGCGGTTGGCGCCACAATTTTGAGAGGATCTTCTGGTTGGGTGGGGGAAGCATGGTGCCAGGAGGAGACTCTATGGTGGGGAACCCAACTTCTGGTCAGCTCCAGAATCGAAAAGGGAGGCTTCTGGTTAGGACCTTTGTAGCTCTTTGAGTGTTTAAGGTTGCCGAACCCTTGCACTAGTATATAAAAGTAAAAGCTAACTCCTTTCTCTTCTAGCCCTGATAATGTTACCTAGTTGGAGCATGAAATGTCTGCAAGGAAGCTCAGGGGGAACCATGGAAGCCATAATATCCTCTTTGTCGTCCTTCTCCTTCTCCTTCTCCTCCTCCTCCTCCTCCTCCTCCTCCTCCTCCTCCTCCTCTCTCCCTAACCCACTCCTTCTAGCACTGGTGATGTTACCTAGTTAGGTCATGAAACATCTACAAGAAAACCACCAAGCTTATAGAGCACCAGGAGTGACAAAATGGCTGAACCCTAAACGCGAGGGGCAACGGACCTCAAAAAGCGAGGGAAACTTATGGCTTCTCCCATTCGGCCATTTGCCACCGAATTTCTGAAAAAAATATATCGAATTCAGAAGGTCCAGTTGAGCGATCAGGTCCGGAAGCCTTCAAGCCAATCTACTCTCCATTCCCCCACCCCAACAAATTTGGACAAATTCACCCTGCCTTGAAGGTCTGGAACTGATTCAACGGGTTCCAATGGAAACGGGCAGAGATCCAAGGGATCGAAGGTGATCTGAACGTCCTGGGTTTCGGCCGGGGATCTGGATGGATTTGAAGGACCAAAGATGACTGGAGTAAAATATGAGGTGTAGAGTTACCTCTAACAGATGTAGGGTGGCCAGGAAAGGTTATCCAGAGCGACGTTGCCTTGAGTTTCATACCTCAGGTTGGACCACCCAAACATGGGTGGATTATACCTATTGTCACCAGTAGTGTTCCACATGTACACCTGTTGGATTTCTCCATGGAAGAAAACGTCCTCGTGGTGAGCTCGCCCAAGCTGGACCAACGCGTGAGGTTTGATGAAGTAGCCTTGACGTACCACCTTCCTGGCCAACGTTTGCCCATTGATCTCCAAGCTGAGGACTCCCGTCTCCGATGACCATCTGATGCAGATCTTCTGCCAGGCTTGGTAGGAATCGGGGACCCGGAAGCGCTGAGGGACACCACCGATGTAGACTGTGTACCACCAAAACCCATCCGGGCCATAGACCTTATAAATCAGGATTTCCTTGTCTTGGTCTTTGGTGGCGTAGGAGAAGAGGGCCTGCTTGTACGGCGAGTCGGACAAAGAACAGAGGCAGACGCTGATGTTCTGGAGAAGGTCGTGAGATTGCTCCATGTCCAACGTCACGTAGCCTTTATGGGAGAAAATGAAGGAATATCCTTCCAGATCTGGGGGAACGGAAAGAGAGAAGGCAGATTGATTAATGCTGGGTCTTAGTACATTTCCATCACACACTGTACCTTGGAAAAATCTCACCGGCTCAGGGTTGACTCAGCCTTCCATCCTTCCGAGGTGGGTAAAATGAGGACCCAGATTGTTGGGGGCAATATGCTGACTCT